TTCATTTATGACATTGCACCAATTAAACACTGTCAATCTTAAAGTTAATGTTAAAAAGTGTTCAGAAACAGCAGCAAGAACGCAGTTTAGATTTGATGAGATTTTTTATATCTTTTATGTTATTATCTCAAAAAATCTCACGGCATGTTCCGAAGGGTAGATCAATTTCTTTTCTTTTATACTTTTAAATTCTTTAAAGCAAATCCAATTATTGATAGAATTTTTATCATAACTGGATTCCCTATTTGTTAAATCGGCTTCACATTGCCGTCAATTTTTTTTTAGTATATTTCTTATGACCCACCCAGCGGTATATGCATGAGTGAACATTAATTTTTTCCTGCTTTGCTGAACTTTCACTTTCTACCCAACTCAATAGCTCAGAGGACTCGAATGAATGGATTTGCTTAGTATTATCACATTTTTCTTTTATAAAAAAAATTATGATTTTAGTTTTAATAATTGTTCACCAGAATCCTCATAACAATTATAACTATCTGAGTGGAACTTTATAAACCTTGTAATTAACAGTGATCTAAAGGTACTTAAAAACAAATTAGAAACTAGTAACAGAAAAATAGCACATTTTTTACTATTTCACAATGTGATGAACATACAAAATATATAGATAGTTAATAAAATAATAATTACCTTCATCTTTTTAATTTTCTCTAGAATCACATGTTCATCATTTAATTTATGTAATGTGTGTCTTTTTTTAGGAAATTATTTCTTAATCCTTTTATTAGATGAGGTGGATCGTGAATTCACTAAGTGTATGGTCATTAATTACAATCACGTCATCTGAAAAATAATTACAATGTAGCTACAAACACCACTCCACAATTTTAATGTAGTTGGTAAGAGATTGCATACAAAAATGGCAAGACCTACTCACCAATCCTTTCACCTGAAATTATTTGCTCTCGCCTTAAGGCTCTTCAGGGCAGATTGAAATGCTGTGCCCTGATCATAGACTAGAACCACTGGTCTAAGCCCTGTGTTACCTACTGCTGTTACCATGTCCTTGATAATATTTTTAATTCAACTCCTGAAGTTGCTCCTTTACAGAGGTAGCAGGTCAGGGCTTGTTGCCACTTGTGAACAACTCCCCGCAACATAAAGACAAGGGCATGGTCAGCAAAATCACTTGTGTTTTTGTTAAGTTCAACAAATCCACTAATTAAAACTTTATGTTTGTCATAAGACACTGCCACTTCATCAAACAGAATGGAACAATATTTTTTCTTTTCATCCCAAGTGTTGACCTGTAAGCAATATAATTAGTCAATATTTACTTTAATGTACAAACATAGTGTAGTGGTAGCCACTGTGGATAACTACTTGGTTTTTTATAGTATAAGAGTGACAAACGAGCACACAGTGCACCTGATGATAAGCAAATTCTGCAGTTCATAGATGTCAATATCTGTCTGAGGACCAAGATGGAATACCCCGTTTCCAATTTTCTACACTCAACACACAATACACAGCAGCCGGTCCGTTCGAGCCGACCCATTCGTGCTACAACCATAATAGAGCTGCAGCGTGGCTCCACCTCATTGAAAATTTACTTGCAAACTTCGATGCTGATTTACCACAAACTTAACAGGGCAGAAAAATATCGAGAAGAAATCTGCATGCTTAAAACAAAAAAAAAAGTATTTTGAAGACATTCTTTAAAACACTAAACATCAACAGCCTAACATTGATGCAACCAGCAGCACATGTAGACTGTAGCTACATATTATATAATATATAGATTATGGAAAAAGTAACTTTATTAAAAAAATACAGTGCCAATGTTTTGATAGCATCAAATATTTGAGAATTGATTCCTGCTTCTATATTCAATTTGGAGAATACTGTTATTAATAAAGTAAACTAATTCTGTGGAGTCTCGTAACTGGTATTACAAGCTTATATTTATTTCTAGTGTTTAAATTATGAACATCTTTATTCTTATCAAAGCTATTTATGTTTTTAGGTACATACATTACATTTTCATAAATATATTGCGATGTCAATGTTAATATGTTTATTTATTTAAAAATTTCTCTAAGGGACTCTTTACAATTTAAGTAATAAATTGCCCATACACCTCTCCTTTGCAAAACAAGTATGGCTTCAATATCAGTCGCATAACCCCATAGCAAAATTCCATAAGAATCACACTATGAGTAATTAAACTAAACAAATCTAGCTGTCTTAATGTTGGTGAAAGTTCTAATTTTTCTTATAGCATATGCTGCAGAACTAAGTCTGCCTGCTATTTTAGATATATGGGGGTCTCAATGAAGCTTTGCATCAATAGTAATACCAAGAAAAACACCAGACTCAACTCTTCCCTATTTAAGAACACATTGGTATTTAAATGTTTAACATCAGGTATTGTAAATTTAACACATTTTGTCTTATTGCCGTTTAAGAGCAAATTGTTGGCGTTAAACAAATGTATTAATTTCAATAGAGCAATATTAACATTGTCAAAATTAATTGACTGTTGTTCAAGTTGAAATCAAAAACATTTAAGTTCTAAACAGTATTAAGTTACTTTTTTACAGCATTATTAGGGAAATTGTTAAGAAGCTGAGATGTAGATTATAAGGATTCGAAGGAATCTATTATAAAATTAATAAGGGAAACTTACCAGCGTTGTCAGTATTTGAAGCCTTAAAGCGGTTCTCTACAACTTCTGGAATACAGTAGGTGTGATCCAAATGCTGTCTTTTTTTATAATAATTGTGCCTAGTTTTGCGTCGAAGTCTCCCATTAACACCGTATATTGGGTTTTGGAGGAATGCATGGCTCTAGAGATATCCTCATACATTTCCTCCACCTCCTCATCGGGGTGTACCAAGGTTGGTGCGTAAACCTGTATGACCTTCAGCGAATACCGTTTGGTGATTCTGAGTATAAGGTACGCAACCCTCATCGACACAACCCCAATCTTTACAACGTTGTTAACGAGAGACTTGTGGACGATAAATCCGACACCTCCTTGGGACAGATGGGCACCCTCCCGGTGATAGAACAAATTGCCGGATTCGAGGATTACCGTGTCCTTCCCCTCTCTTTGGACCTCGGATAATCCTATGATATGCCAGCGTAACTTGTCTATCTATTCTTCCAGCTCCAGGATCATCTCGTCAGTCCTCGGGGTGCGTGCGTTGTACGTTGCCAGGTCGAGTCGTCGTAGGTGGCAACCGAACCTCCACCGGAATTTCTTAGCACCCCCTAATTTCATATGTAAGAACCTAATATAATTTATCGCATACCTCACACTTGAATGGTTTCAAACCGGTGTTGATCTGAGATATTCGATGATTTGTTAAATAGAATAAGGGTGACATACGAGCATCCAGTCCACCTGATGGTAAGTGAATGCTGTGCAGCTGTGGCCCATGGACATCTATTAGGAATCCTTATCCTCAATTAAGAAATGAAAAGCAGATGCGTTGTCACCCATAAGGACTTAGAAGGAATGACTCGTTACCAGTTAAAAGGGTCTCCAGTTCTCTACACTCAACAAACGAAGCTGCTATTGCTATATGCTATTTTATGCTGGTATTCTATGAGAGCATGGTACTATCCCGATCGAGCCGATCCATTCGTGCCACAACCACAATATAGCTGAAGCGTGGCTCTACCACGTACAGACAGACACCACCACACAGCATCATATCGTGATATAGTTATGGTGTTGTGTGGTGATGGTGTAAGACAATTCACTACCCCATATCGTGCCGTGGGTGTCGTAAGAGGCAACAGAGGGAAACAAACTACAAGATGGGCAGCCGCGTCTCCCTGATTACAAGTGAAAATAATAAAAAACCGCGGTTGCCAACCCACCTGCATGGCAACTAAGGCAAATATGACGCAAGCCACGGGGGAAGCCTATGTTCAACAGATTAGTTTTAAAGGCTGTATCGGTAACGATAAACGTCGAAGTGAAAAAAAGAAAAACGTAAACTATCATTTAAATTAAAAAAAAAAACAAAGGTCTAGACTGTTTCCACTAACCTCCATTCACACATTCGATATTTATTTTAAGGTTTCATTATTTTTGGCTTTCTACCGACTTCAAAAAGTAGGAGGTACTCAATTAGACTATGTTCTTTTTTTATGTTTATTACCTCGTAACTTTTTTCTGTATGAACCGATTTCGATAACTCTTTTTTATTTGAAAGCTGGTGATTTACATGTCTGGTTTCATATAAATTTGATCAAGGTCTGACCAATAGTTTTTGAATTATTCTTAATAATTTATATTGAATTCGGTTGTACAAAATTTTAAATAAGTTATTGAATTAACATCTTCAGAACAAATGCAGTTTCAATTTGCACATACGGCACGGAAAGGTTTTTTTACTCGTTATATAATTACATCACAAATTCACAAAAAATAGATTTTTATTTGGTACACACATATGTATATAAATCAAGTTTACACAATATTGTACATATTTCACCAGATAGCTCACGAAAAAGGTTTATCGCCAGTGTGTGTTTTTAAATGTCTTTGCAAATGACATTTTCTAATACATCTATATTCACAGATATTACAGGAAAAAGGTTTTTCACCGGTGTGTATTTTCATATGTGTTTCCATATCACATTTTCTAATACATCTATATTCACAGATATTACACGAAAAAGGTTTTTCACCGGTGTGTATTTTCATATGTCTTTGGAAATTACTTTTTGTAATACATCTATATTCACAGATATTACACGAAAAAGCTTTTTCTCCAGTATGTATTTTCATATGTTTTTGCATACTACTTTTTGTAATACATCTATATTCACAGATATTACAGGAAAAAGGTTTTTCACCGGTGTGTATTTTCATATGTGTTTCCATATCACATTTTCTAATACATCTATATTCACAGATATTACACGAAAAAGGTTTTTCACCGGTGTGTATTTTCATATGGGTTTGCAAATGACTTTTTGTAATACATCTATATTCACAGATATTACACGAAAAAGGTTTTTCACCAGTGTGTGTTTTCATATGTATTGGTGTGTATTTTCATATGGGTTTGCAAATGACTTTTTGTAATACATCTATATTCACAGATATTACACGAAAAAGGTTTTTCACCAGTGTGTGTTTTCATATGTATTTGCAAACAACTTTTTGTAATAAAACTATATTCACAGATATTACACGAAAAAGGTTTTTCACCAGTGTGTATTTTCATATGTCTTTGGAAATTACTTTTTGTGGTACATCTATATTCACAGATATTACACGAAAAAGGTTTTTCACCGGTGTGTATTTTCATATGGGTTTGCAAATTCCTTTTTGTAATACATTTATATTCACAGATATTACACGAAAAAGGTTTTTCACCGGTGTGTATTTTCATATGGGTTTGCAAATTCCTTTTTGTAATACATTTATATTCACAGATATTACACGAAAAAGGTTTTTCACCAGTGTGTATTTTCATATGTCTTTGGAAATTACTTTTTGTGGTACATCTATATTCACAGATATTACACGAAAAAGGTTTTTCACCGGTGTGTATTTTCATATGGGTTTGCAAATTCCTTTTTGTAATACATTTATATTCACAGATATTACACGAAAAAGGTTTTTCACCAGTGTGTATTTTCATATGTGTTTCCATATCACATTTTCTAATACATCTATATTCACAGATATTACACGAAAAAGGTTTTTCACCGGTGTGTATTTTCATATGTTCTTGCAAACTACTTTTTTTAATACATCTATATTCACAGAAATTACACGAAAAAGGTTTTTCACCGGTGTGTGTTTTCATATGTATTTGCAAATCACTTTTTCTAATACATCTATATTCACAGATATTACACGAAAAAGGTTTTTCACCGGTGTGTGTTTTTAAATGTATTTTCAAATGACTTTTTCTAATACATCTATATTCACAGATATTACACGAAAAAGGTTTTTCACCAGTGTGTATTTTCATATGTGTTTCCATATCACATTTTCTAATAAATCTATATTCACAGATATTACACGAAAAAGGTTTTTCACCGGTGTGTATTTTCATATGTTCTTGCAAACTACTTTTTTAATACATCTATATTCACAGAAATTACACGAAAAAGGTTTTTCACCGGTGTGTGTTTTCATATGTATTTGCAAATCACTTTTTCTAATACATCTATATTCACAGATATTACACGAAAAAGGTTTTTCACCAGTGTGTATTTTCATATGGGTTTGCAAATGACTTTTTGTAATACATCTATATTCACAGATATTACACGAGAAAGGCTTTTCACCGGTGTGTCTTTTCATATGTGTTTTCAAACTACTCTTTGCAATACATCTATATTCACAGAAATTACACGAAAAAGGTTTTTCATCGGTGTGTGTTTTCATATGTATTTGCAAATCACTTTTTCTAATACATCTATATTCACAGATATTACAGGAAAAAGGTTTTTCACCGGTGTGTGTTTTTAAATGTATTTTCAAATGACTTTTTCTAATACATCTATATTCACAGATATTACACGAAAAAGGTTTTTCACCAGTGTGTATTTTCATATGTGTTTCTATATCACATTTTCTAATAAATCTATATTCACAGATATTACACGAAAAAGGTTTTACACCGGTGTGTATTTTCATATGGGTTTTCAAATTACTTTTACTAATACATTTATATTCACGATTATTACAACAGTACATTTGTTTAGCGACGTGCGCTTTAAGATGTGCCAATATGTAACGTTTATGAGATGTTTTAAATTCGCAAATATCACAATTAAATATTTCTATTTGTTGTGGTACTGGAGTTTGTTCTACTTGTGTCCGAACTGCAGTGGTGTCTGAGTTCTTTTGCGTCTTATGACTGTATGAAATGTGTTTGGCGAGAATGTCTTTTGTTGAAAATGTTGCAGGATGCTTTCCTTTTTTATTAATTGGTTGATTATCTTTTTTCACTTTAGGGTTTGATTTAATAGTAGGGCCTTCAAAATCGAGATCTTCTTCACGAACATCGTTTATGTTACAATTAGTAGAATTTGATTTAATCTTCTTCTCAGAACTTTCTGAAAAATGATTTGTCGAAGTTAAACTTTTTATTTATTGTAAGTTATTGCATCTTTATTGCAAGACACCTTAAACGGTTTACAATGGGCGAAGTTTATGCCTTATGGCATTTTCTATCAGTTAACCCAGGAAGAAATAAAGAAATTATAGTATTTTATACAATAATACTAAATATTATATTTTATCTTCACGCACAATCCCTGACGGGGTAGCCAGAGAGAACAGATCGCCAAGTGTCACGATCCTTACATACCTCTTTCGCTTCTTTCAGATTCATTATCTTCTTCATACATGCACGTCTAGGTATCCGAGTACTCTTGACCCTACCCTCTTCGAGCAATTTGCTCACATGGTCTTCGAAAGTTAGTCTCGGTCTACCTCGACACCTTTTAATATTAACTTTCGCGCTATATATTTTCTTCATCATTCGGTCTTCACTCATTCGCTCAACGTGCCCAAACCACCGAAGCACGCCCTTATCAATTTTTGTGATAAGGTCATCTTTCAAACCTGCCATATTGCGAATCTCTTCGTTTCGCTTTCGGTCGGCCATGGTAACGCCGCACAATTTACGAAGTGATCGCATCTCCACTGCATTCAACTTGCTTTTATGCTTCTTCAGGCATACCCAGGTTTCGCTGCCATATAACAAAGTCGGTACCAACACTGCGTTATGTATTGCAAGGCGTGCACTCTTCACTACGCCTTGCCTTTTGACTAACGCAGTCAGGGCACCATTGACTTTGTTCCCGGCAGTGACACGCCTGTCTACATCTAAATCACATCTTCCATCCCGGCTAAAAACACTCCCCAAGTATACAAATTCATTTACTTGTTCTAGACATTCCTGATTTACCCATATTTCACACTTCGTTCTCTCTTCGTCCCTTTCAAATACCAGAACCTTAGTTTTATTAGCGTTCAAACGGAGACCTTTAATTTCACATTCCTCTTTCATACACGTGACTAATGCCTGCAGTTCTGCCTCTGATGGTGCAATAAGCACTGCATCATCAGCATACAGCAGGCAATTTACTTTAATGTCACCCAATTTCACACCCAAACAGCTATCTTTCAGCTTTTGTAAACAGCTGTCGAGATACAGTATGAACAGCCAGGAAGACATGACACAACCCTGTTTTACGCCCGTTTGGACGCTAAACATGGGTGACAGGTCATGCCCTACCCGTACACAGGCTTTACAGTCACAGTAAAGAGACTGCACAGCCCTTAGCAATCGACCATCCACACCATACCCCGGCAACAGTTCCCACATTTTCTTCCTTACAACCTTATCAAATGCTTTCTCAAGATCCACAAAAGCACAGAAAATCTTCTGGTTAGCAGCCAGAAGCTTTTCCGTGATCATGCGGAGAGAAAACATTTGATCCGTGCATCCTCTTCCAGGTCTAAATCCGCATTGTGCCTCCCATAGAAATCTTTCCGATTTCTCTTGCATCCTACGTGTCAAAACCTTCGAGTAAACTTTACTTGCTAAACTGGTCAAGCTGATCGCCCGATAGCACCCGCAGTCAAAATGTGAACCTTTACCTTTATATAAAGGCACAATGACTGCGGATCGCCAATCATCCGGGACATCTCCCATCCGCCAGCACAAATTGCACAGCAGATGGAAGCTGTCCCAGACGCGAGGCCCACCATACTTGACCATTTCAGCAGTAACTCTGTCTAGTCCCGCAGCCTTACCACATTTCAAACTTCAAATCGCACGTTCAATCTCTTTCATACTGATGACCTCAGTGTCATCGAGGTCCGGGTCTGGCGTACCAGTCACGGCGTCATCCCCGGATCCCTCACTAAGATCATCACACGCATACATTTCTCTATAAAATTCGCTCCATCGCTGCATGACGTCCGATTTTTCTGAGAGGACGTCATTAGTTCTCGAAAGCACTTTGTTCATTCTTAAGGCCGTCGCACCACTTCGGGACCTTCCAACCTCTTTCCAGAAGACTTTGGAGTTCTCCTTAAAGTTGTGCGACAACCTTTCGTCCGCTTCCATTCTACACCTTTCACGCACTTCCTCAATCAATGCTTTCATGTGAACTTTCTGCAGCCTATATCTTTCTTTCATCTTCTCTCTCATATCCTTATCATTACTAGAGGCCAAGTAGTCTAACCATGCTTTCTTCTTCTTCTTTACAGCTTCTTTCACTTCATCATTCCACCATGCATCTCTTCTTTTACTACTGCCTCTTTTTATTGTTCCACACACTTCTTCCGCTGCACTTACCATTCCATCCCTAAGGTTCTGCCATATTCTTTCTACACATTCGTTTCTGCCATCGATGGTGTCAAGCTTTTCGGCTACCCTCGCATGATATTTGTCCCTAGTATCCGCTTCCTGAAGCTTCCAGCTTCGGATGCGACAGACCGACTGTGGTTCTGTCACTGCCGTCCGGTAGCGCCAACCCGCGAACAGACCCCTAAATCTAGTAATCACTAGATAGTGATCCGTTCCCAGGTCAGCACCCCTGAACACTCGCGTATCCTTAACCTGTTTTCGCAGTCGGTCATCCACCAGGAACAAATCGATCATACTTCTCTCATTCTTTCTTTCTCTAGTATACATATGGATTTTCTTGTGATTAAACATAGTGTTTGTCACAAGAAGACCCTTTTCCTTGCATACCGCCAGTATAAGCTTGCCAGCATCGTTAACCCTTTTATCGCCAAACTTTCCAAGTACCGACTCGTACCCTGGTCGAGCGGTACCAACCCATCCATTTAAATTACCACATACAACAATTCTTTCGTTTCCCCTAGCCAAATCTAGAACTTCTCTTACATTCTCCCAAAACTCCTCCAGCTCAGCCCTGGACGACGAAGCTACCGGCGCATAAACAGCCAAAAGGAATAACTTCGCCAGTCCCAATTTAAAGCGAACCCAGAGAAGTCTTGAGTTCACAAACATATATTCAGTCATAACATCGACCAACCGAGAAGACAGCAGCACCCCCACTCCCTGGCAGGCGTTCTCGCTCTCCGGGACTCCGGACCATAGAGCTAACGCCCCGCCAGGGAGCTCTCCAGTACCACTGCCCTTCCGTTTGGTCTCCGACATACACACGACATCTAATTCTCTTTCTTTCATATTTCGATCAACTCATTCGTCTTATCTCTCATGCCTCCTCTAACATTCCACGTGCCAACTCTGCACTCCGTCCTCCACCTTCCGCCGTGTCGGGCTGTGCGTAACGGGTGGCGGTCCCCATCGCCGCTTTGCGCGCTGCATTCCACACCAACGGGGACGAGCTGATGTGCGTCGCCTTGGGGGGACGCCCTAACCCTCGTTGTCATGGGTGCGCAGCTGAGTAGAATTGCAGCCCTGGAAAGGGCTGGCAGGGGTCGCGACGAGCACGCTTCTACAATGACCCCTAAATATTGTTGCCAGATATAAAGTATTTTAGTCAATTACTCCGAATAATGTCTCTCATATTAATTTTTGGAGGGAAAGAATGATTTTACTGACCATGTTACATTTAAATTAATCTAATAATCTCTGTTTCGAATTCCACACAGAACTAGTGTTATACACACACGGTCGAAGATGGAGTGTAAGTGCGGTATAAGAGAATTCATCATCACATTTTGTCCCGTGGGTTTCGTAAGAGGCGACTATGGGTTTGCTAGAAAAATCTGATGGTTTCCGACAGATGGCAGTATAACCACCTCGTTTACTTCAGATGTAAAATATCCAGACCGGCGCCAGGCGACATTGCTAAAGGTGCTCAAGGCAAATCCTTCCTGCGTAGGGAGAGATCCTTTCATGTTCAGCAGTGGAAGTTTACGGGAATATTAAGAGGTTCTTTCTCCACTGGCACCCATAAAATAGTTAAATTTGTAAGTAGGTGTGTATGTATGTATACATACATCCATACACGCCGTTTCCGTCCTATCGATCCTACCAGCTTCGACGGAAACCGTATTGAAGGTCACTAATCAGCTTATGCTCTTCAAGGTACCGCGTGAGCTGGCAGTTAATAATGGTTTCCATTATTTTGGAGAACTAGAATGTGATGGTGATATGCCTGTATTTGGATAGGTCCCAGCCTTTTTTAGGAATCGCATGCACTAAGGCTGTCTTCCATAAGCTTGGAACGACACCTAAGGAGTAAGAGAATATGACATAAACATAAAAATAACATGAACATAACACAACAACTGCATTATAACTTTGTAATCTATACTAATATAATAAAGTGGAAAGGTTTTTTGTTTTTTGTTTGTTTAAACACGCCAATCTCTGGAACTATCAGTCCGATTTGAAAAAATGATTTTCTATATTATAGCCAGATTCATGAGGAGGAGGAATAGTATAGGAATAGTATAGCATTAGGCTACTTCTCTCAGTTAGATATTGATTTTTGCTAACCCGTCAAGCGCTAGGACATTTTATTTTTTACGCGCCAAACGTCAGGGCCTGTACGGAAGGTCTCCAGATACTGGCAGGCACTAATGTAAAAAACTAAACAATCGAAGCTAGACGCAGAGCAACAATAAAAAGACTTGCATGAAAGTTAAAAAAAACCGCTTTTCTACATTTATTCCTCTTT